AGGAGAAACTAAGTCACAACAAAGTCATATGCATTTATGTTACAAAGAGGTCATGGCACTATCTCCAGAAAATGGAACAATTTTGAGGCTAGAAACAGCACTTGTTCAGAAATTGCTTAAGCTCATCCTGGCTTGTAATGTTTGGAAGTAGGGTCGAAAACCTGGCTACCACATAGATATTTAAAATATTCTAACTCAGAGCACATACCACATCGACTGTTAAAACCACTTAAACTGTGATTTCTACTGACAGCCCACTAGCTAACAGGGCAACTGTATTCTGCATGTTGTCAAAGTTCATTTCAGGGCTAGTGACTCTTTCTCATCAACATCACATACAAGTGATTTAAATTGTACCTGCACATTAAGAATGTGAAGAATGCCAAAGTTTAGAAAGGTCTCCTTTTAACACCCTTTTATTTTCTAAGAGGTCTGGAAGCAAGTGATTGTTTTCACAAACCTGACCTAGTTTATTCTTAGACTGACTCTTCAAAGTCAGGTCAGGGGCTGGAGTGGATTGTCTGGCTCCATATTTTGTTGCTCTAGACAGATATCCACCTTACCAAGGAAAGAGGCTAGAGTGGAATTTGGGGCAGCCTTCATCACAGAATGGTGTAGAACAAAATTTGGTGTAGAAAACTGTTGCCTTGGCTATCTTCCCATGTCTCAACTTTCCCGACCCTTTACCACAGGGTTCTGTGTCCTTGTGCCTTATACAAGTAACTTGACCTTTCTGTTTTTCAGGTTTTTAACCCATAAAATGTGGGTAACTGTAGTACTATCTCCTTCATGGGTTTGTGGTGAGGTTTAAAGTGGTTAATACATAAAGCATTTAGAAGTGTGCCTGACGCATCTCAAACAACACATAATATAACATAAGTGTTTGGTGTTGCTTCTGCTGCTGCTGTTCTTGTGGTGGTTGTGGTTACAAACCTTACCTTGGACATTCCAGTACAATAACCAGAATGCATCCTTTTTATAGCCCAATGGGTTTTCTGCCTAAAAACCCAAGCAATTACCAAAATCATAATATAATTGGAAGGACAAGGACTTTGTAGTTAGATAAGCATGGGTTTAAGCCACCACTTTGTATTGTTAAGTAAGGGCCTGGGTGTTTTTATTCATAACATTTTACTGGGTTCCAAGTCCTGCTGAAATCTATTTATGGACTTTATAAGGATCCAGGTCAAGAATTTCCACTCTGAGTGCTAAAGTAGAAATGAGAATAGAGATAAGGACAGGATAAGTAATGAATTAAGACAGGGAAAACATATATCTTCAAGGAGCTATTCAATTCCTTAATTCTCTGACTCTTTTTTTTGAATGCTCAGG